AGAGGGTTGTGCATTAGGGAGGGGGAGTATTTTCCACATAGAAGGTCCCAGCATCTCCAGGTAAGACTAGAAAACATCTTCCTGAAAGTGGCTGCCGGTCAGTGTCCACAATGCTGGGCTATGAAGTAGCTTCCTCTGTACATTGTTATTCCAGAACATTATGAATAAAACACACTTCCTTAGAGTCAAGGTAGCTTTCTTCTCAGAAATGGAACATATTTAGCCATTTTAATCATCAAGATTAATCATCAAAAATGTTGTGTGCCCCCCCCCCCCCGCATTCTTCTTTGCTGTCTTTGCTACTGTTAGCAGCTGAACAATTATTTCCACATTTTTGGACTTGATTACATATTTTAATAGTCTAAAATGGGACAGCAAATTTGATTCAGTTTAACAGAACCAATTATCTCGTTGGTGTGCTATAGTACTGATATCTGGCACTATATTGTTTTTGAACTATTACTTTTCCTTAACAAATTTTAGAATTAATACTGGTGGCCATTTTAAATCCTTTTCTCTTTCACATCAAGTTTTCTTGTTAAGACATTGAAGTGTATCTGATCTGAAAAGGCTAGTGGTACAAAAGACTGCCACCATTTTTTCTTTCTTTCTTCTGTTCCTCTGCCTTTAAGCACGATCTGACAATCAAAAGTTAAGGAAGGTAAAGCTTTTCCTTGCACAGATATAAAGCAATAGGAAAATGGTCCCAGACCTTATTTCTGCTTTCCAAACTACTGGTAGAATCTGAATCATGAAACAAGTGTGTAATCTAATTCCTTGTGCACTTCCCAAAACATTTTGGGGAACATTTTGGAAGCTACTCCAGAATTATTTTCTTCCACAGTTCTTTGTCCTTGCCTCTCTATAGGTTTACAACTACAGATGGCTAAATCAAGTCTATTTCCAGTCCATGTCAGTTTTGCATACATTCAATCCAAAGGCCATTCTGTAGCTGTTTTTTTTAAATTGCACATAAATGTGCACACTCAAGTTTCCCTATTTTGGGGATTTTTCTGTGCAACTTTCCTGCCTTGTATTTGCATTTTTCTATAGAAAGACTTGAGCTGAAAACTGCACTGCAAAATTTGGAGAAGTACATAATCTAAACGAAAACTGCATTTCCCATCTGCATGATAGTGCATGAACATGTATATGAGATCCACTCACTTCAACTAGGGGGGCAAACAAAATCCTCACCCATGTGGGAGAGTTCCTCTGTTAATTTGACTTGTTTCTGGGTTTGAGACAAGGTGGGAGCTTCCTGAATCTGCAAGAGCAGAACATCTATATAGAAGAGAGCTCAAGGCTGGCTCCTAAACACTCTGGGGCGAAAAGAGGAGAAATAACATCTGGAAATGCCTTTCTTCAAAGTAGAAAGAAATTAGATAAAGTTAGAATACTCTGAACACATGCACAAGACCAATCCGATGTCAGCCTTTGCAACCTGGTACCGCGCCCCCCCCGGATGTTTTGGATTTTAACTCCTACCAGCCAGTAGTTAGGGTTATTGGGAATTGTACCCAAAACATCTGGAGGGCACCAAACTAGGGGATGCTGCTATCTATGCATGCATACTTAGAGGTAAGTCCTACTGCTTTACACACAAGAAAATTTGCAAAGAACTGCAGCTTCAATTTAGGCTAAATGCATAATCTGAGTTGCCTTAAGTCAAAATTTCAATTTGGAGAAAGAAAAGGTTGAAGATTGCTGATCATTATGATTTTATGTGGCTGTTCTATAGTTTCCTTTTCAAAGGGGTCATGGCTTTAAGTACTAAAAATAACTAAATGAATGCCAATTATTTGCCATCTCTCTCAGTCAACCCTCCTTCCCTCCTTTTAAGTGTTGCCTGCAGCGTATTTCTGGGTAATGTACTAAGACCCACTTTTCCTCACATAACACAAAATGGGATTATTTGCTCATTGACCATTAATCAAAGCCAAGGTTATTTCACAACATCCCCTCCGCTGATCCATCACAACCCAAGAGTTTAGAAATACAGACCTATAAAATCTGGAAATAAAGGATATAATTTCAACTTTTCACAACTTTCAGCATTGAGACAGACCATATATCCCAGGGGCTTGCTTGGGACAGCCAGGGTGAAACTCAGCTGCCCAGTAAGATCTTTGGGTTGTTATATTTTCTTTTCTGTGGAAGTGGGGCAACATGCATGTCAAAAGGGAGTGAGGCACAAGGATTGTGTGCACCCTCCCTGAAGGCCCTCTGAACCTCAGGAGAGGAGAAACAGTGTTCACTCAGACCCTAATGGGTGGTGCAGGGCACATCCTGGACCCACACTATGTAGGGCAGGGTTAGACAGACTTTAGTCTTGTAGGAACTATTTCATCTTTTATAAAATCCCAAAGCCTGGAAACTGGAGTCAGAAGCAAAACTATTGCAGTGTGGTGTAGTGGTTAAGAGTCTGGGACTGGAGCTCAGGGGAACTGAGTTCTAGTCCCCGCTTGGCCATGGAGGCCAAAGACTCTCAGCCCAACCTACCTCACAGGGTTGTTGTTGTGGGGTTAAGACTGAGAGCAGGAGAAGAATGATGTGTGCTGCTTTGAGTTCTTTAAAAGAAAAAAGGCAGGACAGAAATCTAGTAAAAAAACAAACAAACAAACACATAATTGGAAATCAGAAGGCTGCGGCAACATACTGCAAATCACCCAGAGATTACTGGTGTGGTCTTCTTTTTCATGGTCCTTTAAATGTGTTGTACTCCAACTCCCAGCATTCCTAAGCAATGGCCATGCTGGCTGGGAAAAATGGAAGGTGCAGTCCAGCACATCCAGTTCCAGTAAGGGGGGGACCAGGTTGGATTCCAACATGCTTTTGCTTGGGCACTGAAGCTTACTTGGACAAACAGGGAAACAGTGGCGACTTCTCTGCACATGTATATGTCTTGTAGACAAACAGAGAGCAGATGTCAAAGCTGGAGGGTCTACTTAGTTTGTTAGATGTCCCAAGATCCACCAAGCGAAGGCTGCTGTAAATGGCAGACACTTCAAATCACAAGAATTCATTTCAAATGCCCGAAGTGAACCGAACTGAACCCAGAGTCTTTCCGTACAAAAATCTATTCCCATCTAACTCACATTTTCTTAATTTTGAAATATAATTCAAAGCCCTTTCTGCATGAATGTGAATATTATCAGCCTTATTGTGAAACAAATGCAAGTCTGCCACAAATCATCCACTGGTCTACCAACAGATCTGCAGCCCCGACCCATCCTGAATAGCTCTTGTTAAGCAACCCACTTGCAGTGTTCTGGCCTGGACACTCTTTGAAGGCAATGCCTTGCAGAGAGTATTACAACAACCCAGCCAAGGGGCTCCAATGCTGTGAAGCACATTGGCCAGAGGTCCTATCCCTCTACGTCCATTTAAGTCAAGTGTTGCAGTACAGGTGGTTTCCTATCCGTATTAAAAACGTCTGTATGACTCTAGAAGAAAACTATATTGTCTGACTTTTGCCTGCCTGTTGAGAAAAGAGTGGGGCAGCAATCCAGAGGATCCCCCAGATCTTCATATATGCAATAAATAAGTGCACCACATTTCTTTAATTCATCATTCCCAGTTATTTTAGCTTCTCTCTCCCAAGAACAATATTCCCTAAGCACAGTTAATCTTTCATCTGCCAAATAAACAAGCACGGGCCTTTTGCGATGGCCTTCTCCTCACCTCAAGATGGGGCAGCTCTGCAGGGTAAGTGTCTGAAACCATTTTACACAGAACGTGAAGTTAACAGTGAGCATTTTTAGACACACATCTGTTTTCTTGAGACCAACAGTGTGCTTTTGCTTTCACTGGAGGTTGCTGGTTCCAGAAACGTTACTGATTCACTGGTACCCCAGTTGAAACACCCATTTTATCAGCTATACAGTTTTTTTTTAAAAGGTTCCAAAGTTAGACAAAACTCAGGCCTGACTCAAATGTTGTGTTGTGGTAGAGCAGAGCAGCGCTGTTCTGCACAGGATGCTGTTCGTGGTATGCAAAAGAGGGGCTTTCCTGGCCCAATTAAAACTGGTAGAGACAACTGTTTATTTTTATTTATGTACTTCATTACTATACAGCCAATCAGCCATAGCTCTCTGGGCGGTGCCAGTAAAGCATAAAGAAAATGTTGTAGCCCAACACACCTGCAGTTAAAACTCTTCTTCCAGGCCTAATCAATTTCTTTCTTTATATTGGCTACACCGCTTTCTTATAACAATTTCTCCTCCAATATATGCAAGGTCTTTGCTTCTTTTACTTTTGGAGCTGCTCTCCATTTTTTCTGCCTGGTTAAAATGGACTAATTCATATGGGAATCTCCTTCGCACAGACACTTGGTACGGCATCCACAATAGATCCCCACAATTACGTGAAAAAACAAAGCAAAAGAAACAACAGCAACATGAACCCTAAGGTATAGAAAATGTTCATCTTCATTGTAATATTACTACCTATCTGAAGATAAGGCCTCACTGGAACCATCCACAGGTGACACAAAAAACATTCGGAACATTATGCAAAATGTACAACCTCAGGCTGCAGGTTAGGATTATCGCTCTTTCACATAAAACACTCTGTGCATGTTAAATAGCACATCAGAGAGAAAGGATTCACAAGCAGGAAGAAACATAACTGCCATGGCTACCACTAGAAATTCTGGAAACTGCCGTCTGTAAGGATAATGTTTGCTAGGATTTTTAAGTGGGGAGCCATTACAATGAAATGGCTTTGAGGCTGTCATGGTGATTGAGTCGATCAGTAATAGTTCCCCATGCACACCACAATGTGATCATCTGCCATATACGGCTATTAAAACCCACTTCTGTTACTTTTCTGTTTAAGGACTACTTTATCAGTCAGAGCAATCATTGCATAAACTTTCCACTCAGGGAAGCACCCAAATTACTTCCACAGGAGGGCAGGTGGCAAAGTGGGGGAGAGGACAAACAGTTAATTGTCGCCCAAAAGCCCAGCGTTTTACAAGGGAACATTCATTTCTGTACCTGGATTGTTTCTTTGGCGGTGGAGGCGGTGGTGCGAATTCCTCAATTCCATTCCTGTCTTTAGGGAACTCAAAGGCAAAAGACGCGGACTTGCTCATTCCTCCAATCTTGTTCTCTTGCACCGAGCATTTCTCCCCCTGATGCAAAGTAAAAGTACTTGAGGAACTGCTTGCTCCATTCCCTATTTCCATCTCCGGCATATTTTTCAAGAGTCCCTGCTCTTCTTCCTCTTCTTCCTCTATCCGGCACTGCCTGCTCCAGGATAGATTATAGTATTTCTGTCTTCTCTCAGAACCCGAGGCAGACAGACCTCTGCTGGAGTCTTCGGGAGAGATCCTGCCCACTAATGAACACATGGAGGGAGGTGGCCCAGAGCCACTGCAGTCTGCACCATTTCTTGGAATGTCAACATCTTCATGGCCAGGGCTGTCACAGCTTTCACCAGTGGAAGGACCCCCCGATTGTATAAGAGACCCTTCATCTCTAGGTGGGCTCCCTTTGGACAATTTTGGGGGAATCGCTGGAGTCTCACCAACCATGTTCTTGCTAATCATTTGGGGCTGGAAACCAGGGCCACTTTCCCTTGAACTTACTTCACTGCTTGCTTGGGGCTCAAAGAAATGCCGTGTTTTCCCAGTCTCTGGGTTAGAAGTGGGGCTGGCACAAGGCCACTGGACGCCAACAGCCGAGTCTGGGCTGCTAAGAACGATGGTCCGGTTGTCATCTTCTGTGTGGGCTGCCACAATGGTAATAGTTGCTGTGACTTGTGTGGCAGAATCTGGAAGCTCCTTTTCACAGTTCAAGGGGAGAGCCCGCTCTTTCCAAAGCCCATCCTCTGGATCTTTACATGGGCCGCACCCCTGGGCATCACTCCTCGCATGTGCATTGGAATTACTCGGCTGAGCCTTTTTCCTTTTCGTACTCTCTGCATAGATCGGCTCATTTTGAGGACCTGCTTCAAAGGAAAGCTGCCGTTCTGCAGAACTGCTTACATTTTCTAGACGCCTGCCTTCCGTTTGTTCTGAATCCAGGACCAGAGGACAACATTTTCCCTGAGACAAACCAAATGGGCTGCTGCTTTTTAGCACACTGTCTGGCAGAAATCCTAGCAAGTCTGTTTCAGAGCATAAGTGGTTATATGCATAATCACACGGAGGGTGTTTCTCCCTTTGAAAGTCAGGATCTGAATTCAGAACTCTGCTTTCCCCTCCACTGAAATTCCCTATCTTGGACTTGGCTCGTGTATTCATGGCAGCATCCTGCCCCTGAAATTTAGAAACTGGGTTTTCACTTTCTGGCCACTCCACTTTGGCTCTGGTATTGTCAAATCCCTGATGGACAGGAGACTTTCTGCAGTAGTCTGTGATGGAACAATACTCACCACCTTCACTTTCTACATCAAGGGAACTACATGTACTATCTTTCTCTGAAAGCGACGCTTCTCCTCTTGGGTGGAGGGGAGGGTAGTTCACAGGGTCCAAGGGAGAGGCAACATATCTGTCACTGAGGGTGGATGTCTTGTGACAGAAGCCTGCATCTGGCATGGCTACCCTCTCCTTGCTGGCCACGTCCGCAACATCCTCCCGTACGCCCATATCGCCCAGAAATGTCATTTTACTGAAGGAGGTATTTCTTTCTGCCCTGCTTTCAAAACCTGTGGGGTCAATCACAAGGCGTCCGTGTGAAGTACACTCAGCCGCAACGTTTGGAATGGTGCGCTTCCTTATAACATTATTGCCGATATTGTCAGCGCTTGCTCTTTGTTCTTCTCCAGATTTCTTCAAGATGTGCTTTCTGGGTGTTGCCCTCTTGCTGACCTGCATCGGTCAAAGAGAAATACAGAAAAAATAATGCAAAAATACTTAAGGAAATCATTTGACCACAATTGAATGCTTTCAAGGCTGATGGAGTATATGCTAACTTTCACCCATTGCAATGAATGTATACATTCTGTCACATAAAGTGCAACTGGGGAACTCTGATATTCCTATCTGATTGGTCTAGTTAAAGTAACATGTGCTTTGGCTTTGCTTTTAACAGCATTTCACCTAATAGGCAGAACTAAGTTTGTTTACTAGGAAGGTCTAGTTCCTGATAAACTTTGTTTTATGTTGTAAGAATTAGGTCAGGTGTTCAATTTGCAGAATTCTCCTCAGTACAAAAATTTCCCCATGTGCAGATACAAAGGAGGTAAGACAGGGGTGGTGCCAGTTACTGGGAAAATGCAGGACTCAGGCCTAAAACAAACAAAAAATGCAGAAACAAAAAAACAGAAAACAGAAAACTGCAGGTGTTAATTTTTATATTTATTTATTTAATTTAAAACATTTCTATGCCGCCCCATTCGCCGAAGCCTTGGGGCGGCTCACACTAAAGGGCTCACACTTTAGTGTCCTTTATACACTAAAGGACCCTGCCTTTTAAGGATACCCCCATTTGAAGAAAAAAAAAGGATGTATGGATGGGGGAAACGGAGGGCATCTGATTTCAGAAAAAGACTTCAGGCAGAAAACCCGGGGAGCGGTGACAGCGAGAAGGAAAGCACATGTGGGCAAAAAGCCAGGACAATCAGCAGCAGCAAATATCATCTGGGGCCCTGTACATGTATTTCAGCAAGTGTCCACAGTTTGTATATTAGTGGGGCAGGTGGCCTCCCAGACAGTAGTTTGTGTATTAGTGGGGCAGGTGGTCTCCAAATGGAAGGTCTGATATCCCAGTAAGCCACCTGCTACCAACAGCACCTTTCAGATGAGGCCCAGCCTTCTCCCTGATAGACCAGTCTGCCGGGAATATTGTTAAACCTTTGTAGGGGACCATCTGCAGTCTGACAACCTGGCTCACATATGAAGAGAAACCACAGTGAGTGAATTTCACTCTCTTCTCTTGATGGTGCTGGCTACCATTTTGAATATTTGGGGTGTAGCCAAGTCATGCTGCACTGTAGCTTCTGGTTGTGTGCAAACCTGGAACGGGTAGGTTGTTAGGGTGGTTGACAAGCCCTACTTGGGCTGTTGTAGTGTTGAGAGTGGCTTATCAACAACTCTCCCTTGCTGGGGTCACATGGAACAAGAAGCTCTGCTTTGCTCCCACAACAGCCTAAATATTCAAAATGGCAGCTGCTACGGTAGATTAAGCCCGTGGGACATTAACATAGGGAAATGTACTTGTTATATGAGCACTTGTC